CTATACCAATTATTTTTCTCATCCATGCTCGGATACTTTGTGCTTATACCTCCCAAGATACCCTCTAAGTCATGAACTTTTCCCTCCTATTAATAAAACACATTTTAATCCTTATTTTGAATCATATGATGATCAGCACCATTTTTAATACACGAAAGTAAGAACGCCGGCTTCCTTGGAACATTATTTTCTTTGCTTTGGAGAGATGGAGGAAGAGTTCTCTATTTGACTTTAGGTGCAGAAAAAAATGTACGTGACTTTCAATATCTAAACATTAAGCAGATGTGGAACTTTCTGCAGAGTTTCCTGTTCTTATGTGCTTGGAGAAAAGCATCCTCTTCTCTGGATCAGCGTTCTCTCTCTATCAATATGCAGCAAGAACTGACAGCCAGAACCAGTTTTAGTTCTCTTCCTATGTTCAAAGAGAGAATCTAGGAGGTAAAGAAGGTAGCTCATTCCTGGCTCAGTTGCATTTGGTGACTTTCTAAGTTGTGGCAGATAGGTACGTTTTTGTATCAGAGGTTTCACTGTATTTGAATTCTAAGAATCTGCCTGGACCCAATCCTGCAAACTACACTCATACTAATAATGCTGTTGAAAACAACATAGAAAAACAATAGAAGTTATCTTAGGAGAATGTGGTTCTTTGTGGAATTATTTATTGAAATTGAAGAGTAATGTGAAAAAAATAACAAAAGCATTGTCTTTGCTGTAAAATTCAGCAATGTGACAGTGCAAGCTGTTTCCAGCAGTATTAATACTGACAGTATGGTTGCTGATGACATGACAAAATAGCTGTTGCACAGCAGAATTACTGTTATTAACAATAATAACGTGATTTTACTATCTAGAGCCACCAATTAGCTGACAAAATCTCCCTGTAATAAGCACTGCACAGTCCTTTTCAGTCTGAGCATGTGGTTAGGCTTAAGTCATGGATACCACAGACAAACTGATTTTGCAGAGGAGAATAAAGAAATCATTGTTAGGAGCTCCAAGAGAACCAGGGGAGCATACCGCCTGTTGAATGTATCAGCAGAAATGGAGTATATATACTCCATTTGTGTATATACCCATAGTGGGGGTATATATATGTATATGTATACATTCAAAGTGCAAATGATATAAATACCTACTATGTGTCAGTTGATACATCTTTATTTTCATCATGGTTAATATAGGATCTAGCCTTGTGAAAGATCAGTGCAGAAGATGTGCTGGGTATGCCCGAATGGCAAAATACCTCTTTCATGAACATGCATTGAACCAACTGTTCAATCCAGGCAATTGAATAAGAGAACCATCTTATTTAACCAAATACACTTTATTCTGTCTTTTAAGCTGTAATTTATTCTCATAGCATGCTGTAAAGTCCTGCTTGGAATGTCTATTCTTAGCATAAAACTGTTTGTGAAATTTCCATTAAGCTTCAGGTGAAAAATTAATGAGTCATTCACTTCAGATATTTCAAAACTAATACTGTTTTATTATTAATGCAGCAGAAAATCAAAGATGCAGGTATGTACAATTATGGTTCAGTGTTCAGTTACACTTTACTTTTTTCATAAATTTTTAGGGGCCGTCATTAAAACTATTTCAGGTCATAAAAGAAATTACTGTAATGAATGTCATCAGTAAACTTTTTTTTAGCCACTTTTATTTGTTAACTTTCTGATTTTGTTTTAGCTGATCTTTGTAGAGGCCTACTTTAATAACCAGATAATGGTTAAGCACAATATCCTGTACAATTTTTCTCTGAATGTGAAATTTTAGTAGAAATGAACAGAAATTTGATCCTTATACCACAAACTTTATTTTTAGAAAAAGTAGGAAAATAAAAGACAAATTACATGATAACTGAGGGGGCCATGGATAAAGTAGTTTCTTTCGACTAGGAGAGTAAGACATTGTGACTTGCTCTCTTTTCTTTTGTGTACTCTGATTTCAGCTGTGAAAGAAGTCCTTGAGATGATGATAAACTTGTACTTTAGGCTGGAATTGAGTGGAGTATGGTACACAACCGTTACTATTATGTACTCCAAGTAACAACTTTTCAGGGAATCTCAGAATATTTTGCCAGCATTAGTAGGTTACGTGATACAGTGCTAAGAAATGCTAGTTACAAATATCTATTCCAGTTTGACTAGTATGGAGACTGAGGTTCAAAGTTTTTGTTTGCCGTAAAAAAAAATGGTGGTAAAGGAGCCAGCAAAAACTTAGCAAAGTTCTTCCAATGTTATTAGTTTCCTAATGAAGTTGTGCTACACTATGTTTTGTCAATAGTATAGGACCAAGCTCATTAGTACAAAAAAGGAATAGAGAGACTGGACCTTAAAGTAGTAGCCCTGGAATTCTCAGAATTTTTTTCTATGTGAATTATATTTTACAGGGGAAATTGGTCTTGGATCTTTACCTTTTATTTCCTGATCATGATGCAGGGTAGCTTTCCTCATATTATTCATAAAAACAAGGTGCCCTTGTGGCAGCTGTACAAATGACTGGCAAAGGTGAAGTAACTTTTACATTTTTTCTTAAAGCAATTTTTAAATAATAGTGCTAGTACTTTTTTATTAAACAGTTCGGATGGTTCAGTTATTAGAGGATTGTAGCAAACAGGGTTGAAAAAATACATCAAGAGGTCATCTAATCACCTTCCCCCAAGGAAGGGTTCAGCGCTGTCTGTGTCATTCCTGACAGATGATTGTCTGCTCTTTCCTTTAAAAAGACTTCAGTTGTAGAGATGTCACCACCTACATACGCACTATTTCAGTGTCTAAGTATCCTTACTATTAGAAAACTTTTCTTCCAGATGATACAATCTCCCTTTCTATATTTCAACTCCACGTTATGTTGTGAGGTGGACCGTTGTAAATAGGTGAGGTTTTCCTATTTATTTTGTTCCTGAATGTTTATCTTTCACCGTTTCTTCAGGTATGAAGCTCGAGTTGTCATTAAATGGAGAAAGGATAGATGTTTTTCATTTGCAATGTTTTGAGCTTCATTGCTCCTATAATGTAGTATGCAGACAGACTAAGAGTAGACAAAAAATAATATCCCAGCTACAAGCTTCTGATGGACGTTTCAGGATTCATTTTGTTTCCAGAAACAGACTCTCAAAGCTTGAGAAATTGATCTGTCATGTAGTAACAACTTTGAGGACTTTTGCAACCCTGACCAGCTTTGCCGAGATAACCCCTTTCCTAAACTAAGACATTTTTGAAGTAGTTACACCTTCCCATTTATAAATCTGTCACATTTTTTAAAGTGAATACAAAGCATTTCTGCTGTGTATTAAATCTGAACAACAGGGTTTTTTTCCATAATTAAATGTTTTTGTCTTATGATTAAGGGCAACCTATCACAAGTTTTTGGAGTTTCTAGCACAAAAAATAAAACAGAAGAGGGAGGATGCATGTGAATTTTATAGAATTTAGTTCAGTAACAACATTCCT